ATGCCAAAAGCCTACTTGTACAAGCCTTCAACTATTGAAATATATGTAAGTGATGTGCAATTTGGGGAGGTTCAAAAGCAAGTCAACACTCTTGAAGAAATAATTATGGGATTGAGAGATGACTTGGCCAAATATCATTCAGAATCTTGAGAAGTTCAGTCTAAAGCTAATAAAAGGAAACATGATGACTTTAATGACTCAGATCATAATGAGGGGGAGAAGAGATAAAAGTTGAATACTCTTGATGATGTTGGGATTAGAATTGAAGAAATTGTTGATCCAAGTTAAAAGCAGACATGGAATGTTAATGATAATCATGGTGTTCAGAAAAATGTTCAGATGAATAAAGGTGAATCTGAGGATTCAGAAAAGCTCAGTTCAAATGAAATGGTAGGATTATGTTATAGTATATATAGAAGTTAGTTAGAAGTTGTTAGATACTCTTTTACATTCTTACACACAAATTGTAGATTTCTTTCTCAAGATACATTTGTACTCATATTGTTCATAATAAATACAATATACATGATGACTTTATTGATCAAATACTGTTCTTAATCATTTCTCTATATTCTTTACATTCTTGATTGCAATTCAGTTTATGGGATTAACAAGTTGTCAATCTTAATTTTTAGAGTTTAAACAACAAAAGGATGAGTTCTTATATTTGGTTTAGATTGGCTTATTTTAGAGTAGAAGGGTTCATGAACTAAGGTCTGTTGTTGGTGATTTATTTGTATTTCAAAAGTCCATGAATTTAAAGATATTATTTGATATTGTTGTACATGATCCTATGACTGATATTGAAGAAAGATTGTTTGGTCATCTTCCTTGGTTCACAAGGACAACATATGATCCTATTATTGAAGAAAGATTGTTTGGTTATCTTCCAACATATGATCTAATATGCACTTCTTTCAAAGGCCGTTCAATCCAATAATATTGTAGAAAACTGTTGTTGTAACAATTTCACTTAAAGCTACAACAATAGTCTATTGCACTCTATTTGCTGAAATTCCAACATTATCTTGCACCTATACTATTTTTAATTTCGGTTACATTTATGTATTTGGTTGCCTACATTCTCTCAAGAATATTGCTTCCATTTTGTCTCTTGGAATCTCATTTTAATCTTGACATTTGTGACACTTTGACTTTAGAATCTCTAAGGATCAATATTTGGTATTACTTACCATTACTACTTTTTTTAAACGATACTAGTGAGCGATGTATACTTGCATGATTTACCAGTTGTTACAAACTTTTTGGAGGTTATATTTCCACACACTAACCTCCTTCAATTTTTTTTGACTTATCTCCAAAAGAGTTTTTGGGAAAGAAAGGATGTTCCAGCACATACTCCATTATCCAGATCTCTTGCAAGTTATGTGCCTTTTCTGAAAAAACACGAAATACTTGCAAAGATCCAAATTGAACAATAGGTCAACCTATCTAGGAACCTTATTCGCAGATAAGGAAAATCTATAGATGCAAATGATGTAAACTTTTAATACATTCAAATTTCTTTTCTTGCATCAGTTAAGAAAGCTAAGAGGTTTTAGGAAGAGTCAAATATATGACAGGACCACCTCAATCATCAACTATTCTCTTATGTTTATTCTCTTTCTCCTAAATATATCGAGAAAACTATGTTGCTTCCAACATGTTGTGTTATTGGTCCCTTGCCATCACTTCATATGAAATTTTGATTCTCATCATCTCTATCTTTGTGTTTGTGTGATAGGGTGCTGAAGGAGCGTGATAGAGTGTTTGAGGATGCATGAGTGCAAAGTGTTTGTTGGTTTCCTGAACAAGCATGCATCAAAAGCCGATATTACGAAAGTATGCTTCAAACTGAAACTTTTACCTGCTTATATGGATGCACACTGATAATACACTTCGAACTGGAATTTTTACGAGCTTATATGGATGCACACTGATACTATTTTGAGAATTTATTGCTACATAGTGATACCGACAAGATTAAACTGAACTTTTTGTCTTATATGATTAGCCTGATACATGTAGGCAATAGTGCAATACTATAGTTTAGCAACTATAATTGGTATGTTGGACTTGGTTAACACGTTCATTACCAATAAAATTTAGTTTTCTTTTACTCAAACAAAATTATAGAACATATTGTTTAAAGTCTTAAAATCAACCATTTAAGATTGATGCATATTCCTTAAAATCTCAATACATATTTATTGTTACAAGTACATGCTTATCCCTATTAATAGGCATTTATCCCTACAAATGCCAAAATAAATATACATTGGCTTCATAAATAACTCTTTTGGTGAAGAATTACATTAAATGTTTCATTTTCCATTTTTAAGAAAAAGATTGATTACCTATAACCTCTTCTGACCCGACATGAAACCCGCCCCATAGGAATCACTTGTGAGTAGACATTCAGAACTTATTGAGTGACTAAGGCTGAGGGTAACTGACGGATTCAAGCCTGTTTTCCACATGTGGTGTATTAGAGCAAAATTGTTGTACCTTTTTGCCAACTGAGCTACACATGAGCTTTTTATTTTCCATTTACAATAACTTTCACACCATGCTAATCTGGTGCATTGTACGAGCACACTACTAGTACAAATATATATATATATATATATATATATATATATATTAGAGGTTTATTTTGCAAACCATCCATTTCATACAAACCTTACAAACTAATCACATCCATCCATTTTTTTGATGAAAAACCAAGATTGAAACAAACTAAATAAGTAAAGTAAAAAAGATAAAAGAAAAAAAGAATTCATATTGGAGACACGAAAGGGCAAAACAGGGAAAAACATATTCTATGAATCCGTTTCATTATATGAACCTGATACAATCATATATGACCAATGAACCCGTTTCATTACAAATTGTTATATATACTTATGAATATAAACTTGTTTCATTACAACTGTTATACATATGAACATGATGCAATCATATATGACCATGTTTCATTGAACAATTTGAGCATATTTCATTGGAAATTATCCTGTTTCATTGATGTTACCAAGTATCCATTAAAAATTTATCAGTTTCAAGATTATTATACAAACAAATTGATTGATCATTTCCTTAAAAAACCTCTAATCTATATAATCTTCTCGATTTAAACAGAATCAAAATATTACTAAAATTATCTATTATAAAGTCAAAGGACAATAATACCCTTATGAATTAAAAATAAAGAAAATTAAATGAAATTATGCTATTTGTTGATGCTAGTTTGTATAAAAGGGAGTGGTTTTGTATTTGATCGCTCCCCCCCCCTCTCTCTCTATATATATATATATATATGTGTGTGTGTGTGTGTGTATATATATATATATGGGCAGGTTTAAACGAGAAATATGTCATTAATATACAAAATAATGTATGATTTACATACAAAATCATACATGATCCTGACGACTTTGCCCTGCGACTTTAGTGGCTTCAAAAGTCGTCCGTTTCCATTTTGATATAAAATCACATATGATTTTGTATATTAACGATTTTTTTCTTGTTTTATTAAATAATTAACGTTCTCGTTTGAATCTTACTCTCTCTCTCTCTCTCTTTATATATATATATATATATATATATATATATATAACTGACTTAGAGAAGTAAGATTCTTTATTCATGGAATATTAATTTGATTAATTGTACTCGATGACACCGAACAATACGAGAATTGAGAAGTATGACTTCAATTTTAACTGTAACGCAACTGTTTCTAACTGTCAACTGTTTCTGATTGTTAACAAATACCAAATTTCGGTTATTTAAGTCTTGTTTTCAAGTTTCGTTTCCAATGGATTCAACATAATTAGCATTCATAGAAGATTAAAATGGGGTTTTTGAATTGGTAGGAACATATATACGTTGGTGCTTGTAGCATACATATATAGTAGGGGTGTTTAGGTCATTTAATCCAGAGAACAATTAAACTGCATACACACATGTTAATGGAGACACCAGAATCTCAGCCATTACCATGCATATTTGATTCCTTTCTTTCCATAAAGACAAAGAAACTAACATGATGCACTTATCAAGGCTGCAAAAACCTTTAATTATGAGAACTACCATCATAAGATTTCAGAAGCTCCTTCATTTCCTAATATCCCATGGTCATGGTCCCACATTGATCCCTAATATTTTATTTGAAAAAGTAAACAAACTGAGAGATTACTTTTGAAGAGATTTTTGAACTCATAACTTGTAGAGATTCAATGTACCACACCAAAGAAGCTTAACCTTTAAATAAGTCAATTCTTGTGGTTGTGCATGATTGGTTTGAGCTTGACTCCAAATGTTAAAAGTACCAAGAGGTCTCAGGTTCAAATCCAATGATGAATAAAAACTCCCTTGTGGAGGTTCAAATACGGTGACTCCGGGCTATATGCAAAGCAGATGGTCGTCCTGGGATTAGTCGACTCGCATAGCGGGTTGAATATCCAAGTTAATCAAAAAATAAAAAACATTTAAATAAGTCGAATCATTGGAATAAAATTGGTTTTTAATAGGAAGCATAAATAGTCTTTTAACACCTTATAGAACTTGAGTTTATAAGATAAAAGCAAAACACGTCTACATATATAAGTGTTACAATAGTTTTATAGGATATTTTTGGGTGTTTCAATAAATATTTTAGGACGTTTATAAACTAAAATGTCAAATTAGCTATTTTATATATAATGTCAAATTAGCTATTTTATATATACAATACTATTTGAAAAAGTGTCCAATAAAAACATTGGTTTACAGGGCACTCTCTTATAAAACAGTAAAATAGTTAATATGACACTTTATTTTAAAAGAGTCATATAAACTTATTGTAACACTTTTAAATATGACGTTTTATAGTTTTGTGAGATACACTTTTGAGTTTTATAAATCCAATTTTATGGTAGTGAAAAGGAAGAGGATGTGGACAGATATATTACACAGTAGTTACTTCAATACTTTTTTTTTCTTTTTTTATAGCAGAATGCAAAGACATGAATGGAATCATATATAAACACACATACATTTAAGATAGCAGAAAAAGGATAAAAAAAGAAAGTGAGGTTTGCTTGGAAATACTACTAGTCTCCTTCGGCTTCTGTTACTGCTGAGGACATGTAACTCAGGCCGATAGAAGAAGTCTCATCGGCTGTGGTGGTTGAAGCTTTATTACTAACTGCTTGGAACCGTTGCTTACAACAATGACAAGTGATCTCTAAAATGGCTGAATTGACTTTCTTTGTAACTTGTTCTTGCTGAAGTTTAGCCCTTTCCAACTCAACTTGAGCTTGTTGTCTGATTCTTTTGGCCTTTGCAAATTCCAACTCTGCCATTTCAATCTGTCTCTTTGCTTTTTGCCTAGACTCTTCTGCAAATGCCATTTCAGCCATAGCCATCTTCAGTTTTTCTTCTTCGTTACGGAAGCTAATTCTGCTCCCAATCGAGAGCTTCAAATGGGTTTGATTATTGTTGTTTTCTTCAAATAATGATGATGAGGATGGTGGTAAGAGCTGAAGTTCTAAATTGTTGTGTGTGTCTTCTTGAGCTTGTAAATGTAGAAGCTCCGGATGAGGTTGAATTTGTTGGATTCTTGGAAACGCTCGGGTGGCATTAAAATTTGTTTCGCTTGAAAGACTATTACTTGATGCGGTAGGAGGCGAGCATGTCCGCCTGAACGCTGGCAAATCCGGGTGAACATGCCGAACCACGCAAGCGTCTTGGTGTTCGATGAAACTCTCAACTCTACGATAACAAACGAACGGTTCGGTTATTCATTTGAAATTACATAAGAATTAGATAGATGGGATCATTTCGTGTAGGGCTACCAACAAGCACACAATAACATATAGCAGATGGGTTTTTATGGTTATGAATTTGTACTGTTGACGATTAATTAATATTAAACAAATCCAATAAAATAAGAGAAATAATTGGACACTCCAACGTTTGATCTGTGTCTTCTATTAAAGAACCAATGTTTGGAGAAAAAGATCGAATAAAATCCTATAAATCTTCGAACTTTAAATTATATAAGCAAAAACATGAGATCATAGATCCTGGGAATTTGTTCTCATAGTGTTATTGTATATTGCAGATAGTCAAACTGCAATAATATGGATGCAGACACACACTTTCATACACCGAAGATCGCCAGAGACCCAAAAACATTGAATATTATAAGGCCATTTATTGATTAATTAATCCTTCATAGTACAGACTTTCAGATAAGAAACGATTATAATTAGGAATTTTGGGTTCTTATTTGAATGTTGCTGAAGTGTATGCATTAAGATACCGAAACCCAAGTGGAGATCAGTGTAAAAGAAGGGCCAAGAACGCTACTAACCTGGAAAAAACTCGACCACAATCACAAGAATGGCCTCTAGTGCCACAAGTTTTGAGATGAGCTTTGTAATCAGATTGAACAGCATAACCCTTTGAGCACTTCTCACAAACCCACTGTTTATTGTTACTGTGTTTCCTGCGGAAGTGTTTCTTGATTCCGACTAGATCACCAAGGGCGTGGCAAGGATCATGGTGCAAGCAGCTGGGCTCTGGGCACACGAAAACCCTCTTCTTCACTTCTGGAGAGTCCCTCTTCAACAACTTCCATGGCACCTTGTGCCGCCTCCTGTGCATCTGCAGATTCTGATCCCTTTGAAACCCTTGGTTACAGATCTCACAAACGTACCGGTCTGACTCCAGCAAGGTCTTGGGGGACAACGACACAACCTCGGCATCTGGATCTGAAAATACAATCAAATATCCGAATTAAAATTAGTCATCAGAAAACGTTCTATATACCCTTTAACACCAGATTAATATCAATGGATTCGTTTACTGAGCAAATCTGGATACCTGGAGTACCAGCTGGACGTCGTTTTCTTTTGCTGGACAGACCATGATCAGGAGAAGGGAAAGGATCAGATGACGAAGGACCAGTTGCAACAGTGAGGTGATGGTGGGGGTGGTTGGTGTCTAACATATGGTGTATGGTGGGTTTTAGTGATTATATCTTTATCTTACAGATGAAGCTCCGAAACCATCAAAATGGTTTGATTCAGTACAGAAGCTGAAGTGGGCGTAGTTGTTCGTATCAGCTTTATTCAAGAGAGAGAGAGAGAGAGAGAGAGAGAGATGAGAAGGGAAAAAGCAGGTTGCTTTGTGAAATCAACTTTCTTCTTTTAAGCTTTAAAACCTTTTAGCTTTTTCAATGAACTTTCTTTGCTTTTCTCTCATTGACCCCTCACCTTGAGCAGGTTAACAATGCAGCTTAAAAAGCTACAAACACACACACACACACACACACACTAACTGTGGGGTTTGGAGAGAGTGAAAGTCTTAATTCCAGTAAAGGGATGTAGATCGACACATGGATTTATAGCAAACTTAAAGTTCCTTTCTAGCTATTTGGTCGAAATTGATAAAGTTTGTTTGTTCTCTTCAAGGCAGAAGATAGATGTACCTACATCTCTTCACATTTTACACGCTAATACCCATTCAGACTTAATTTTGATCTGTTCAGAATTAATCTGTTACGTGTTGAAGGTGGTGCTTAATGTAATACAGACAATTAATTAGGTTACATGTAATAGAAGATGATGAAAAAAATGAACTGTAAACTAAATTGTCATTGTTGGCTAAAACCCTAATTATGTGCATTAAATCTAATAAACTAGTTAGGGTCAGGGTTTTAGAAACCACATAAAAAAAAGAGTCGCACCACAGCAAAAAGTGTTTTCTATTAAGGTTTAACCGTTTTGATAAAGTACTTAATTAAACGTTAAAGTTTATAAATCATTTGAAACAAAATCAAATAAACCAAGTATTTCTAAATCGGAAGTGGGTATTGAGCGGTTGGATATATGCAAACGTGGCTTTGTTTTGAAAAGTAAAACGACGGTTTTCGTGAAATCTCGTGCCTTGCAAAAACTGTGATTGTTATCTTTATAAAATCAGTAATTGTACGTCTTATACAAATGCATTACAATAAATTGTGAAGTTGGAATTAGAGCATCTTGAATTATTTCTCTAAAATGGAGGATAAAAAATCAAAATAATCTTCAAAGAGATGTTTCATTCAACTCCAACAAATACTCTATTTTGTAGATTACAAAATTGGTTATATTATTATAATATTAAATAAATTTAATAAAATATTATTTCTCTCATATATATATATATATATAGAGAGAGAGAGAGAGAGAGAGAGAGAGAGAGAGAGAGAGGGGGACCTTCTTTTAACAACCCATGAAATTGTGATAACCTTGAGAACTTGTGCATCATGTATTATTAGATATGATTTTTTCCATCTAAGACTATAAAATTGATTAACGCATATTTATTTCACAATGTGTTTGTTTCACATGTACTCGGTTCACGTTGTGAAACTTTTTGGAGTGTTTGTGAAATACAGGCTTAATTATTTGAAAACCTATAATAATCTTGAGAATTTGTGCATCATGTGTTATTTTATATGATTTTTTCTTATCTAAGCATAGTCTTTAATGTATTGATTAACATAGAATTGTTTCACAGTGTGTTTGTTTCATACGTACCCAATTCAAATATGAAACTTTTTTATGTATATTTTGTGTTTCACAAACACTCCAAAAAGTTTCACAATGTGAACTAAGTACATGTGAAACAAATACATCGTGAAATAATATATGTTAATCAATTTTATAGTATTAAATGGGAAAAAAATCATATCTAATAACAAATGATGCACAAGTTGTCAAGGTTATTACAATTTCATAGGTTTTTAAATAATTAATTCCTTATATATATATATATATATATATATATATATATATACTAGAAGGGTATTCGTGCAATACAACGAGATACATCTTGATTTTAATATTTTATTTTATTCTTTCTATGCTATAATATGGTTTTATGTGATTTTGAAAAAACAATGATATTTTTATTTTTGAATAAAATATAAATTTGCAAATATCATAAAATTTTGACAAAAATATATCGATATTAGTATCAAATTAATTATTTAAAATTCCTATTTTTATGTAATTTT